CGTCTTACATGGTACCTACTTCATCACCAAAAGCAGTTTGTAGCCGAGCGAAGCTTCGCTGAGCTGTTAAATTACACTTAAAGTCGTAGTAAAATTTTCATACTATGAAAATTTTCACGAGTTAAATCCATGGTGATGTAGACAACCAATTTCTAAAATGACGCCACAATGTAAAAACAAGGAACAGTCAAATGAAACAAACTCTATTCTACAGCCAAAGAGTCCCATTTTCAAATGTTGTAATTACTTTTAAATATTGTTAAAATGGCCAGTTCCGGAAACTTATATTGCGCCCTATGCACCTACCAACTAAGCTTAGAAGGATTTTTTTCTGAGTGTTCGATCTTTGTATTAATAATTATAATAGCGTAGTTTTTAAGTTGCTTACTAACAAACTATGGACCTATGGTGTCTGAAAATAAGATTTTTATTTTTATTATTTATTTATTTTAAGTAATTCGATAGGTAGTATTGCATTCTTATTAATAGTTTCCAGTAATTATTATAACGTTGGAGAAGATATGACAGATCATTGAGCCAAGGAAAATAACTGGAAAGTTAGTAAGTACGTAATTTCTTCCTTCTCTTATGCGACCTCTTTATATGTACGGAAAAAATGTCCCATAAATGCGCTTCCAATCGTGAAATCGGTACTTACTTAACCGTGGTTACAATTTTCAGCATCATTTCTCCCGACAAAGTACCCAGGCTATTGCTTCAGTTATCTACATGGCGCAGGCGTACGGTGAATTTGAAAAGTACCTACATAAAGCGTTTAGGTATTTCACTTTATTTACGTTAGGTTGCCTCAACAACGATACCGTGACCAACATGTCCGCATTGATGGTTAACTATCCGTAACGAGTCATGCAAAATAAATCATTGCAAAAACATGTCGCTCCGACGCAGTTGAGCAGTGTTTCACGAACATTGTTCTACCATGGCCCGGTAATTTTCATACTGCTACTTCGTGACCCACTCAATACTTATTAAAGCCAAGGTTACACCAAGTAAAATAATACACATTTAAAATTGTTTTACGAATATTATTTCGGTATCGCCTATTTAGTGCGAAGTATGGAGCTACTGCTTATTTTTTACTAAAGAATCCAAGTTCGCGGAAAATGATGAAAGTTTTATCCTGAGGTCTGGTTCCACTTCAACAAGGCGGAAATGTTGCGACCCGGTATTTTATTTTGATGGCCCAGTACCTACCGGGTCGCGACCCACCAAATAGGAAACGCTACAGTAGGATACAAAACGATACCTATTAAAAACATGCTGCCGTCCTTATTATTTTCAACGTAATCTATATTTTTGGCGAAATTGAGTCACTAACATATCTGGTATTAACGAAACGAGATCTGCAACCTACAACGCCCTATAAGCAGTTTCTTTCTAACTAATTATACTAAAAATAATCTAGGATGATCACTGTGACAGTTCATAAAAATCTATGCACCTTGTAACGACGTGCACTAATTTACGTATTTCATAAACTTTGTTTAAGTAAATACATTAAATTAAAGTAAAAATAACACCAAATCAATGTTTGTTTGTGGGAAATGAGTAAAAAAACATGTTTTTTTTTCTTCAAAAATTCATTCTTTTCTTACGACAACGTGCAAAAGTGTGCAAATTACACTGCATTTGTTAGAGATGAGGTATATCGACAATAATAATTGAAAATTTTCAAAGAAAAGACTAAGTGCCAATATCTCGAAAGTAATATGTACAAAATAATGTATTGTTTGTGTCAAAAAGGACAGATGTGCTGTACCTATTCATTTATTGAACTATTATAAGCATATTTCGCACTTGACAACTAACATAGTATTATCTCAAAAATTGCGTTATATTATATTTCATCTCAAAATTGCATTATATTAATAATTTATCTCAAAAATTTCGCTAAATGTCATTTGTATACGATTTAATTTCAGGACAACACTGTCGCTTTGAAATTAAATAGGGAATATTAATATAACTTAAAACAATTTTGACTATTTACTATATTCATTGTCATGTGCGATTTGTACTGGTAGTTTAAAGCCCATTGTCATTGGTTCCTATTACTATTATTATGTGTACATTATTAACCTATACAAGTTGTCCCACGCCTATGCAACATGGAGGGGAAAGTACATATTTTCAATATTGTTATTAAGATTTTTTGCTTCAGAGAGATATTATTTTAATTTTAGGAGTAAGTGTAAGTTGAATGTACACTATTCCAATATTTAAAAAATGCTTGCGTCAACTGGGAATCGAATCGACAAAACATACAGGTATTCTTCGACATTAAATCGGTTCAATTCCCAGATTAGGTAAGCAACTTCTAAAAGTATTTGTATACAATATTACTTATTTTGAAAATAAAACAATGTATCCATGAAGCAAAATGTCCTATCTGTAATACTTGAAGTAATAGTACTTCGTGACGAATAACCATGGGACACCCTGTATAGTATACATCCACTGCTTGGTATAGGCCTCCTTTAGGTGAATGAATAACTGCGTTGAGCACCTATGAAAACAAACACGTACCTAATTTGCAAACTTTATTAATAAAACCTTATACAAATTTAATAAATGACGTGTTTTATTTTTAGACGTATATTTACTTATTAATTAACATAACAAGTTTATATATATCTTTAATCCTACTTTTAACCGTCTAACGAATCCACTTTCTCAATAATAATAGACCGAAGGCGATTTGGCTGTTTGTATCAATCTAGATTATACTACAGATGGAATGAAATTATGCAGCACATCCCTTATCCATTTCTATTGTCTATATTACTCCAATGCCCCAAAAGCAGGGATTCAGCCAATTAAGACTTGTTTCGACAAAAATCACAAGGTGTAGTATAACACTTGGAATGCAGTCTGGCAATTTGGATGCAGTTCGCATGCACGCAGGCTGTGCGATGCAATTACCGTGCAATCATGCCGACTGCACTCAAACTGCTTGCCCACTGTCACGTCTGAAGTTCTTGTCACAACTTACTATGATCACCTTCCTATAGATATCACAAGGCATACAAATGACACATAAAAATGGGACATTCAGAATTGTGTATTTATTGACAGCAAAAAATTAACTTCTGAGAACATTGTTCCTCTGTGAAATCGTCATTCAAACTTAGATATAAGTTCCATTTGTCACATATTATTTGTTTAGCTCAAGTACACACAAGACAATAAGTTGCTTTTTACGGCAAATATAGGTGATACTTTCATTAAATTTTTCGAATAGCAAAAAATTTTAACTACAGAAAATTATAATGATAAAATCTACACAGTTTTATACGAAATCATAATATAAAATTACTAGAGAACTTACTATAGATCTTAATCTTAAAAATAAAATTATTATTTTTTTTAAATTATTGATACCTAGTTTTTTTGTGTAATGGAAATTAACTAGGGAATTCATTCTGATCACTTTTCTAAATTAACTCCTTGACGTATATATAATAAACTACGTCAATAACCGACAATTTGAGAAGTCTAAATTAGATGGCGCTAGTGAGTCCAGGTACTGTAAATTTTGGCTTAGTTTGCTTATCTATCCTTGCATGGATAGGAACAGCGTCTACTGTAAAATGAAATAATAGAATATGATAGAACGGGGTACCCCGAGTCGCTACATGGATCTCAAAAAACCAATTACGGGCGTTACAGTGCGATTTCCAAGTTCTTTCTGTGTAGTATCAACAAACGTACTGACAAACTTCAATGATTTACATTGAAAATTTTATATTCAATCATTATAAGCAATGACTGACAATTATTTAGTACTGTTCATGAGAGGGTTAAGCAAAAGTAGCATATTTTGAACGCGGCACTTCCAACTTTCATATTTTAATTTCTTTGTGTAAATTAATTGACTAATTTAACTGACACTTAACAGAAATGTATGTAAATGAAGCCATGACAGCTCCCATTGTTCACTAGCGCCACCAAGTGGAAACTGGTGCCGAACATCCCTGCATTTCAGAACGTATGCAGGCATATTACCTTGCCTTAAAGACAGCCCAATTTTTATATTTAGCAACACATATAAGGTTTTTCTAGGAATAACACATTCCTATACCATTGATGAAATTGAGAAAACAGTAAGTTCCTATTCCCTAGCATTTTTAGCAATACTACAAACTCAGCATAATACAAACATGTGTATAGAAAAAAACTGACAATGTAATAAATAAAAACTAAAGAATATTTTAAGCAGATTAAATCATTAAAAACTTATTTTACTACTTTCTACGATATTAAAATATTTTTTCAGCTCTTAACTTCCAAATTGCTTCATTTATCACATTTTGTTTAGCCAATTTTTATTGAAAGAATACAAAGAACAGAAAATAATCAAATGGTTTATGTTATTACCAATCACAACATACGCACTAGAAAATATTAAAGTATAAAAGGCATCCCGTCAGAAATTTAGACATAATAAATTGGCAGGATATACCTCATTAGCTCAATACGTAGTTGCACAGGTAGTTTGTATAACATACCCAAGATCGTAAAGGCTACATTTTAAGCATCACTGGATTCCAGTGCTTGATAGGGAATGGACTAATATAAATATGTTATTGACAAAGGGGTCAACATTATAGCATAGTCATAGAAGAATCAATCTTCTGAGAAGGTTCATAAATCTCTCACAAGATGTTGCTTACGGCGTTGACGGCCAAAAAACCTCATACAAAGATCTTTAACAGACACAGAAGAATTTCGTCGATATGCTAACTCTCTCGTCTCAGGTTCAAGTTCTGACACGTCGAAAGAAATTTTCTGTTTTGGAACCCTAAACGCCAGGACTTGAGTATAATTTCTAATGCTTTAAATCATGCTCAAGTCTTGACTTGAGCATTGAGTAGAGTTCTGGAATACGACTCTGATGGTCGATAGAAATCATATTCAAGTTCTTGCCATTAGGGTCGTATTTCCAGTGCTTGAAATCATACTCAAGTCCTGACTTGAGCATTGAGTAGAGTTCTGGAATACGACCCTTAGTCAACTTTTTCTTTTACATTTAGGTACTAATGATTAATTTAATCCAGTCCAGAATCTAGCACTACATTTAGATAGAGTAGTATATTCGCGAAAACGCAATGCGAAGTCAATTTAAGTTCAGTGTGGCTCTTTCATTATCATTAGAAAAAGAGAGAACATTTTAGTTTATTTTAGTGCTATCAAAATAAGTTAGCGCCCATAGACCGCTCCCATAGGTTGTTTCGTTAGGACATGTTCATTTTGTATGAGGTTGGGTAAAGCATCCATTTCATATGTGTTTAGTCAGTATTCAAAAAAACTGGTTGGTAAAACTCTATTACGTTGTGACGTCATAGACAACAACCCATGTATTTCATTACCTTGGACAGCTCCATTCGTTAAAAATTTCTGCCTTCAAAGTTTGACAGTTCTTAAATCTTAAATATAATGAATTCATATGACCTTTCGAAAAGAGTATTTCATCCATTCATTCATAATTTTCTTATTAATAAATAAAAAGATAATGCACTGAATCCAAAGTAACTTTGCATTTGCCCAAATCGACACTAGGGTCCATTGGTATACAACACTGGAATTCAATGAAGCTAGATCAAGTTCCCAGTCTATGTAATTGAAGTCTTTTATATCTGAATATTAATATCATTTTATAAGATACTAATAAAAAATATCTTCAAACAATTGAAACGACTTTGACTTGTTGATCCCCCTATTCAATATCAACCATTATCTATATCAAATTGAAATCATTACGTTCATCATCATCAGTATTTCAACATATTGCTCTTAGGCAAACATGGCTCCGCAGTTTGAGCATCTCCTGTTCTTTAAAGCGAGACAGCACAATATTCCTAAAGGGAAGAAAAGGATAGCGCATAATATACCCAAGCAGGTGAAGTCGTCTTCTAGAATTCCAACTCTGCAAGCAGGACAGGCTCCAACAGCTATGATCGGCGGTGGAATGATGATATTAGTTGCACCATAGTTAGGAGGATACCCTGGTGCCGTTGGTGCAGCGCCAGGGTATGGAGTGTATCCAGGCGGGGGAGGTGGATACGATGTAACATAAGGTCCAGCAGCAGGTTGTGGATGAGGTTGTGGTAAAAAACCTGAAACATATAACATTTGATTATTGACATTGATTCTGGAGTATAACAAAGAATAGACATGACTATGTTGACGAGACACTCAGGACACAGTGTCATTGAGTATCATTTAAAGTGAAAGCCTCAACTATAGATTGGCACCACATAAATATATATGCCAAAACATAAATTCACATACTCTTTGTACTTCATATTTTAATACTGTATTAATTATATTGTATCATAATAATATTGTATTGAAGTCTTTTAGGACATAATTATTTTATATTTGGATGATATTTTCATGTACGAAAAATATTATATAGTTTGAATACATAAAAATAGCATCCAAATATAAATAATTATACACTTTAGTATCATTTAAATATTATAGAAAAAAATGTGGGTTACATCACTATTGCGCTGATAGCCTCATTTATGATTGTAATTACATTCAAACTGATTGACAGTGATTTCAACAACTCTGTTGAGTGACGGATCACTAAAATAATGAGGACAACACAAGTATTAATTTGGTTTAGGAGTTACTTTCAAAATTAGTTTTTTTTTTAATATATAATAGACACACGCTTGGCTACAATCTCACCTGATGTTAAGCGACGATGTGACCGACGATGGGACGCGTTTGCCTAAAAAATGCCTATTCAATCTTGAATTGCCCCAAATTGTACTTTTCGGGAAATACAGATATTCCGGTAGAGCATTCCTTTATTGTATGAAAGTTATAACATATGGCCAGTATTGTAAGAAAGTTATAACATGAGCTCATCTGTATTGTACTTAGGTTAATGTTTTCTGAACAAAAGTATATTTCGAGTTCTTATGTTTCTCGATTGTTACACATAGGAAATGAAACTATTTTTCCGGATTTAAATCGAGTATAATTGTGTTACATAAACAAACCGACTTTTCGGGCCCTTTACAGGTCCCATGGTCACGGTTGACTGAGGTGGTACAGTAATCAACCAGTTATGTCTAATATTAATGCAAACCACCCTACACTAACCTACCAGTAAAAGACTGCATTGAAATTGTACGTAGAAAGCTAAGGGAACATAAAATGTTCATTGAAAAAAAAAATTGAATATGCAGAATTATTAGAACACTGCCTAACATCAGGCTAACTATTGTGGAATAATGAATTCTACCTACAAATCGGTATAGCGATGGGCTCTCCGGTATCTCCCGTTGTTGCTGATATTTTCATGGAAGACTTCGAGGAGTGAGTTTCATCCATGGCCCCAGCAAAGTCGAAGATTTTCAAACGGTATGTTGTTGCATAGCATATCTTCTTTCTTCGACCATCTTAGTTCTTTTAGTACTAAGATCCAATTTACTATGGATCAAGAGAATTGTGGTACCTTTGCTTTCTTAGATGTTTTAATTAAAAGAAATCCTAATAACACCTTAGGCCATATTGTATTTCAAAAGAAAATCCATACAGATAGATACCTCAATGGTAATTGCCATCACCATCCTAGCCAGTTAGCTACCGTGGGCAAATCTTTGTTTCAGAGTGCACATGGTGTCTGCGACAGTAATCATCTGGCACGAGAACTTCAGCATATAAAGCAAGTCCTACATGCGAATAAGTTGAAGATTCAATGCCAGTGCCGCAGGCCGCGTGTGAAACCACCAACAGTCAAGCGAAGACCTGCCATTTACTTCACTTGAGAGGTGTTACAGACAAGATCGGAAGAGTCCTCAGGCGTGCATATATCAAGACCTATTGCAAGCCCCTGAGGAAAATTTCTCAGTTGATCAAGTATGCAGGAATTTACAAGCTTGACTGTGAGTGTGGTCTCTCTTATATTGGACAAACGAAGCAAAGTATTTGTACCTGCATCAAAGAACATATAGCTGATGTCAAACACCGTAGCGTAAACAAGTCTGCAGTCTGCAAGCATGTCATGGATAAACCTACACATTCAATGAACTTTGATAAACCCCAGGTCCTTGCAAAAGAAGTCCGTTATCTATCCAGGATGCTGCGAGAGGCCATTGAAATTAAAAAACATCCTAATTTCAACAGGAAAGATGGTTTCTCTGTACCACCAGTTTGGGATCCTGTATTTTCTCTGATGAAAAATCCCAAACAGACATTAGACTGCAGTACTAATTAATGTTTTAATTTATTCTAATTTCTATTATTAATTGATAATGAATTGAATTTAATAAAAATTCATTCAATAAAATAATTTGTAATATGTAATGTAGCGTAAATTGGAATTATTCTTTGTAAAGTTAAAAATAAGGTATTTAATTTATAACTTTTGTAACTATAGTGACAAAATAGGGTAGTTTGCATTAATATCAGACATAACTGGTTGATAACTGTACCACCTCAGTCAACCGTGACCATGGGACCTGTAAAGGGCCGAAACGTCAGTTTGTTTGAAAAAACAAATATACGAGATTTAAATCGAGAAAAATAGTTTCATCTCAAAAGTATATTATTATAAATCAAAAAGAAAGTTGTAAAAAACAAATTAATGTGAATAGATAAGTGCATACTTATCTACAAACAAATGAGTAACACGTTTATCTATAAATCATTATTCTCGAAAAAACATAATAGGCATAAGTAACGAAATTGTACCCACGAGCATCAAAAATGACATGGAAACCTAAAAAAGGGTCCTAAATAACAATGACACTTCATCACATCCAACTAAGGTTGTTATTCACAATTTAAGGGCTTTATTCACCAAATTATAACTGCATTGCAGTATCATACTAAGTCTAATGACCGGAAAAAACTCACAACCAAATCTAAATTAGCATGAAAACTATTTACGGCCGATATTCTTCTTTCAACATATTAACATAATGTGTTAATTACCAAATAAATAGTGTATTTTATCTAAAACTAGTGCAAACGCGATATTTGATCGGTCGTTGCGCAGTACATAAAACACCTTATCGCTTTGTGATACATTAGATTTGCAATATAGGGTTTCAATGCTTCCAAAACCTAAATATTTACGTCACCTGGAGGTACTGTAGCAGAGTACGGTGGCGGCTGATCGGCAGTAACGGTAGGTTTTTCCATATTTTAACGAACTTAAAGTGATTAAAATATTTTTGTGCAAGTTTTTTCTTCAAAAATAAAGGTACAAAACTTCCATATACTCGTTTCGCAATTGCACAATGATATGACAGTGAATGAATGACGGGAAACAGCTGTCATTATTAGAGATGGGAAAAACTGCTTACTTTTTTAAATGTTTAAACGTTATGGTTTTTTTTAAAAAAAAGCGTGCTTTTTAAACGCTTTATCACTTAAACGCTTTTCAGTTTGAAGCTACCAAAATCGTTTAGAAAACGTACTTAAGCGCATAGAGTTTTACGTTAAAAAAAGCTTGCAACGTTGTGTTGATAGCGAAACGCAAGAGTATACTGCTAAAGGTTTTAAGATAAGTTTTTTTGAAAAAAAAACGAGTTATTTTTATGACATAACATAATTATATTAACATTTTGTTCGTTGCCGTTTAAAAGCGTTCAAAAACATAAGTTGTTTAAGTTTTGTAGTTGTTAACCGTTGAAATGGAAAAAACTGCTTATTTTTTTAACGTTAAAACGTACGTTTGAAAAGCGTGCTTGTAAAAGCGCTTTTCACTTAAACGCTTTTTAGTTTGACGCTTAAAAAGTTGTTTAGAAAAACGTTTAAGCGCATAGACTGACCAGTGACCAACGCTTACGCTTAAAATGAAAAGCGTGCTTGTGCGCTTATTTTAAAAAGCATACTTTTAGTGCTTTTTTTGCTTTTCGTTTAAACGCCCACCTCTAGTCATTATTGACGTTTTTCTTAATTTTAGAAAGCATTGGCAACTAGGTTTCTACAAAATACAATAATCTATATTATATTAATATTTTCTTCAAAACGCGAACTATGTATGTATTCGTCGATATATCGATGGCTTCATAATATACAGGGCGTTAACTGAAATAAAAACATACTAAATTTTTTCAATGGCAGCTTAGTTTACATACTTGTTGTGTATCACGTGAATCACATGACACATAATTGTGTGCAACTGACAAAAAGTAAACATAACTTTTAAAATAATTCAAACATAACACTGAATTTAAACATATATGTACTTTGAATTTATTCAATGAAAGGGACGGTTATGTAATGACACAATGAGTCGAAGTCATGAATTCAGGTTCAAGAACCGGTAAACAAATACACCGCATGTTAATAGAACTTTCTTTTCGAATATGGGCTTTTTGTTCCAAAAACCTATTGATGCAATGATTTAAATTTCCTTATGAACTGGCGGTCATTCCAGGAAGATGCAGATACTCGGCTAAAGCCTCAAGTATCATGCGCTGACCAGCATGAAGATTAGCTTCCTCTTGCCTTTCTTGCATTAAGTTATTTGATCGGCACCTAGAAGAACACCCCTTTGCAGAGCCGGTCAACTTCCGTTGTGGCTCAATGCGATAATTTATCGACATGGAGTTTTATCAAAAGCTCGCAATATGAGTGTGAGCCGCTTCTCATGCCATATCTACATAGCGTGTTATCGGAATGAAATTACTTAGTTTTAATTTTGTGTGTCCATGGCACCCGCGACACAGGGTTTCCCATTGCTACGTAGATTGTGTGCGTTAAAAAAAATTAAATTTTATATTACAATTAAGATACACGGATTTAAATCGCGTGTATTTGTTTTCTCAAACAAACCGACGTTTCGGCCCCTTTACAGGTCCCATGGTCACGGTTGACTGAGGTGGTACAGTCTTCAACTAGTTATGTCTAATATTGATGCAAACCACCCTATTTTTTCACTATAGTTAGTTACAATAGTTATTAATGAAATACCTTATTTTTAACTTTACAAAGAAAACATTCCAATTTACGCTACATTACAGTTTTACAAATTATTTTATTGAATGAATTTTTATTAAGTTCAATTTATTATTAATTAATAATAGAAATTAGAATAAACTAAAACATTAAACAATTTAATAGTTTTTGGTAGAAACCACAGACCACATAAAGTAGAAACTTACAGGACTACAAGAAAAATTTAATTAATGTTTTTAACAGACTAAATAAGGTTAACCTGAAATTAAATCTAAAATGTAAATTTTTGAAGTAACAAATTTTATATCTCGGACATTAAGTAACTGCTGACGGAATTTTACCCGACCCCGAAAAAATTTCAGTTGTAAAAAATTACCCAGTTCCGAAAAATGTAGAAGAAGGAAAGAGATTTCTGGCTTTTCTAAATTATTATCGAAAGTTCATTCCCAATTTTGCCGAGAAAGCACATGCGCTTAATAATCTTTGTAGGAAAAATGTAATTTTTGGAATGGAATTCAGAGTATGTAAAATCATTTCAATCATTAAAAGAATTATTAATATCGCCTCCATTATTACAGTACCCCGATTTTTCATTAAAAAAATATTTTTAGTTTAAAAACAAACGCTTCAGGATACGCCATACAAGCAATTCTATCTAACAAGGACGGACGCCCGGTCGCGTATTCTAGTAGGACTTTGAATAAAGCCGAGCTCAATTACCCTATCATCGAAAAAGAATTGTTTGCAATTGTATGGGGAGTAAAATACCACAGACCTTACTTACACGGTCGTAAGGTCAAAATTTATACGGACCACAGACCTTTGATATACTTATTTAATATGAAAGATCCTACTAGCCGTCTACTAAAATTCAGGTTGACATTGGAGGAGTATGATTTTAATATTGAGTATGTGGTAGGTAGCGAAAACACGGCGGCTGACGCTTTATCTAGAATACAGCTAACATCAGAAGAGTTGAAAGGAATACACGAAAACTTAAACGTAATGACGCGCGTGCAATGGAAAAAACAATTTAACTGTAGGGATTCTAAGGTCGGTATAGTATCCAACGACAAACGGCCTGATCAACCTAATGTAGTGGATATTTATAAAAAACCTTCGGAATCAGTAAAGTTGGTATTTATTACAGAAAATAATTTAAAGAAAATGAAAGGTAAAATATTGAAAAGTACGATTTATAACTACTACTAATAATAATAAAATAACTCTTAATTCACGATTACAATTTACGCGAGCCGAATTTGTAAGTGAGTTAGAGATGTTTTGTAACGTGTAACGTGAGCGAGCTATGTTTATTAAAAGATAAAAATAATGAGAATTTTATTAAAAAGTTAGTCGCTGAGATACGTAAAAATAAGAAATGGACCGATCCACGAGTAAATATTAAAAAAAAATTTGAATAGTATAGATGACAATGATGATCGTAGGTTGATTCTAAACGATTTCCACCTGTTGCCCACTAGTGGCTGCGCGGGTATCAGGCGGATGCTGAATAATATCAGAAGACGGTATTATTGGCCCGGTTTAGAAACTGATGTTAAAAAATTTGTTTCTCGTTGCGATAAATGTCAAAAACAAAAACATACAAACCATATTAGTAATTACCATTACTGCCAATTCAGCCTTCGACAAAATATTTTTCGATCTTGTTGGACCCTTACACAGAGATAACAATAGCAATAGCTACATCTTAACTATACAATGCGAATTAACAAAGTACGTCGGAGCTTACCCGTTGATTACTAAAAGCTCAAATGATGTTGCAAAATCTTTCGTAAATAATTTCATGTTAGTTTATGGTATACCAAATTGTATAGGTACAGACCGTGGAACAGAATTCTTATCAGCAGTAATAGCCGAGGTATGTAAATTATTACAAATTTCACAAATTAAGTCGACAGCTTACTATCACCAAAGCATAGGAGCCTTGGAAAACACGCATAAAGGTCTGGGTAATTTTTTTTTTTTAATCATCCGGACTATTGGAGTGAGTGGCTGCCATACTGGAACTTCTCATACAATAGGTCAGTATACTCGTCTACGGGATACACTCCGTACGAACTTGTTTTCGGTAAGTTGTGCAGTTTACCTAGTAATTTAACGAGCAACATTGCAGAACCCTTATACAGTCACGACAATTATGCATTGGAACTCAAATATCGGCTGCAACTATCTCAAAGAGAAGCAAGACAAAGTTTACTCAAAAGCAAACTGAACCGAAAATTAAATTTCGATAAGAACATGAACGCGGTTACCTACAAGCCAAAAGACTGGTAACAAGCTCAGTAGTATCTATTCAGGTCCATATGAAGTAATACGAGACGCTTCACCTAATGTAGATGTACTTAAAAATAACAAGCTGATTACTGTACATAAGAATCGAACAAAACTATACAAACAATGACTGCGTTAAGTGAAAAAAATTAATAAAAATAAATATTTACTTATTTTGTGTATATGTTTACTAAGTTAAAAAAATGTATCAACTAGTTGTAAGCGTATTTAGAAACAAACAGTAATATTATGATGTTTTATTAATACAATATAGTATTATTTTGTATTCTTTTGTATGTTAAAAAAAAGTTGTACTGTTTTTTTTTATAGTTGCGAGAGAGGTGTGACGTAGTAAGTGTAGTATACTTATTTAGTAGTAATGCACTTAGAATAAATGTTGTATATATTAATAGTACTGCCACCTTACCTATTTCTAGCTCCAAGCAGTAATGTCAGCATTATTGGGTTCCGGTTTCAAAGGCTAAGAGTGCTGGTGAAATTACAGGCACAAGGGACTTGACAACTTATGTCTCAAGGTGACAGGCGCCGTGGTAGTGCCCCTCAAATCTTTACAATTTAAAGCTCTGAGTGGCACTTTAACTGTTATGGAGAGGCGTGTAGCTTACCATCAGGCGCACGACTTGTTCGTCTCGTCACTAGATATTTATAAAAAAAATTGTATATACAATAAATATTGTCTTGTAACCGCATTCGTTGGTTTCACTCGTCTCCAATATCCCCGGTTACCACCGTCCCTACAGGGCCCAGATGGATCCAAATGTAGAAAGTATCATAAGAAAGTTTTATCATTAATGGAGGAAAGGACATTGAGACCACGGACTGTGAAAACGATTTTTAGGATAAGTTTTATCAACGTTCATCACGTGTTGGTGATTGAAATAATAACAAAATATTACTTTTATTTAAGACATTGAATAAAATGTGAGATTGTTGAAAAAAAAATATAAAAATAGACAAAAAAATATTTTTGTTTTATTTTTTTTAAACACCTTTACGCACAAACCCTTATATTTTAACGCTTGTTAACACCCACTTAATCTTGTGCCTCCACCTTATGTCCGTCATTTTTATGAAGTACGGTAGAGTGAAAAAGAGGCGCCTATATAGTCGCTAACTTGAATAGACAATTTATAATTATCCGTTTTATTGGGTTCCAAATTCCAAACTATGTGGTGCTCAATGTTTCTCAAATTAATATAAATTTTATTATCACGACGGTTAATAGGTATTATACAAATGATACACAAAGAACTTAAGAACTTTCAATATATTCATTATATTTCACAAAACAATAACTAATAACGGCGATATCTAAACTAGGAGATTACTATCTATTTGATAATTATTAATATTTACACCAATTGAATATCTCGAATATTTTAAAGAATTAAGTTAAAAGTTTATAAAATGTTTGTATGAAATGTACCACTCTAGGTACATTTCATAGAAACATTTTATAAACTTACAAGATTTGACAAAGACAGAACACCCAAGACCTGCTGCTTTAAAAAAACATCATCCGTATAACGTTCGCAACTCAAAAAATTTTTCGACTATTGATTTTTGTCCATTGATTTTTGATTTGTTATTGGGCTACCAGGAAAATAGATTTTCTTGACTCTGCTCATATGATTCCATTTTATTCGTTTGCGAGATATTCCTCATAACATCAACTATATTATTTAAGTTTGCATAAAATACGAGAACGTAGACGTTATCATAGACATTTAGTTCGATACCATACGTATGTTGATACTTCCTATGTCAGCAGTAATAAGACTAGAAAAAAACAACTCCCAAAAGCTATCACGGAACGAAAGTGACAAACAAAGTTATGCATTCCTGCTACCAAATTCGTGTTCGTAGGGCACTTTGGCTAATTACTATAGCCAACTGCTCAGTACAATGTTGTCATATTCGTATCATTGTGAATATAGGTATCGCAATAAGGAATTATTCACAAATACCTAATCAATTGGGTACAGTATATTTCAACCAATGCGTAACATGACCAGAATCAGCGGAATTTGTGTGTACTCGTTGTTTATGCTTGCATTGCTTATCCACTTAGTAAATGGACTGCCATGCTGCCTTTCACGTCATAATAACTAATGCATTTGCATTTCGCAGTGGACGCCAGAATCAATCTTTGGCAACTTTTATTGCCGTGAATTGTTTCCGACAGACACGCATAAAATTTTATAATAAACCATACTCGTCCTTAGCCGCTCAATGCGGCGTGCATAGCTATTATCACTAATTCCTTATGGATGTCTATGAGGAAATGTCGACAAACAATTACGACAAATTACTGGTATAGTCTACCTAATCTTGACAAACCGTAAATTGGAACAATCGATCATTTATTTTTATTTATTCTTTAGTTGCAACGCAATCCATTTTACTGCATCCAGTTCTCCAACACACTTCTATAATTAATAACAGGAAATTCATATTTACAAAGAGAAGTAAACAAAATAAACAATGAAATAAGCTCTTATATTACATAGAAATAATAAAGAAACAATATAGAAAATTAGCAAATTTGGGATTGATTTTGTTTAATTAAGATGTTTTGTAAGATAATAAATTCAATGCGTCAATTTGTAGTTAAATGTATCTTATGACGAGATTTTCGAAGACGTGAATTCTTGCACAATATTATTTTGAATTAAGTGTTTAAATAAGATGCCTTTTTATGTTTATGTACATATTTATGATCCCTTCTAGGCCAATCATCTACCACAGCGCAGCCTAATGTCCACTTACACTAAACATAAACACGTCTTAAACCTCTGCTTAAATGGATAAGACACTCTTATCGTAATAAGAGTGTCTTTTGCATGACAAGCATTGGTTTAATACATACTTACGTTTAGTGCTAGTGGACATAAGCGTCATGAAGATGTTAAAATATCGGAATATGATTACTACAACATAGCTTTTCTTCGCTCCGATTGGGCAGATTATAGACCTTATTACAGCGGTGTTTACACCATTTCGCACCGACTATGAGTACTTACAAAGCTTTTTCTAAAACTAAACACTGTACATTTACGTATAACGTGTCGAATTACAAAGTTATCAGGGTATTTCCGAGGTCATCATTTTCAGGACAACACACGACAATAAACGATTACAAATGATTGTGATGGAACGTTTAAGAACGATGCCACACGGGTGTTGTGTCGTCGCAACACTATGATTTCAACGTACTAGGTTGCTTACGGTGGCGAGACATTTGAACGCACCGTGTGACATGTCGTTCTACGTCGTGTAGCATCGCTCTTACATTAACACAATTTTTATATAACATTCTTAACACATTTCGCAAAGTTTTTGCAAAATGACGATTGTCAACAATTCATCAATTCTTAACAATGTGTATTTATATGTATGTTATGTAACGTAGCATAATGTTAAATAGGAAATACAATAAACAATCTATCACAATAATCTGTCATTATAGTAAAAATTAACAGCTAAATAAAAGTAATGCATTAAAAACTAATATTTCACAGTCAAAACAACTTGAATTGAATTAGCACTACAAACGTATTTGTTTCTTGTTATATTTAATAACAAATATTTCAATAATATTAAAAGAATTTTAGCTTGCATATTCTTGATAAAACCGCCGTTTAAGTCACATATCGACGACTTTCTAGCCAGCGAAAGCATAAAAAAGTATTTTCCATTTAAGCAAATGTTGTCCTATAAATTAACAAATAAGTAGGAAAAAAGTCCCTCATAATTTGTTCAAGTGCTCGATAATTAGACATCTAACCAATATATTTTGTTCAGATGCAATTTGATAACTTTGTCTAACTATTTGTAATTACACCTACAGGTTAACAGTGCAAGGCTTTGATAGTTTCTTTTCAGTGTTATCGCTTAAACCACTTTTTTATTAATTATCTGTCGTTTGTATAAATGGCAACACTGCTGAATGAATGAACACTGAATCGAAAAGGCAAAATAGCAACGGCACCGGGCTGGCTTTCGGCTAATGCGGTCGGACTGATGTAGAGCCTGAATGTAGAATGACATATCAGCACGATCGAAATAGAAAGTCTATATTTACCTAAAGGATCCATCACTTCTTTCATACAACTTTGCCCAAAACATGTACCTCAAGTACAATTACATATTTTTAAAGAAAAAAATACGGAGAATTCATAAAAAAATATATTACAATTTATTAATCAGTTGTACCACTTAAAATTATCGTTCGAACTTATCAATAACTGGCAACACTGCAGTTATTTGATTATTGCAGTTTAATTAAATGGCAATGTCTGTGCTTGAAATGTTTTATCAAGATTATTAAAAAGAACAGGACTAAAAGTATTATGGACATCTGTAAAATTATCTACTATTTTTTTATAACTTATTCATTACGAACCAATTATTATATTATTAACATATCAAATACGGTTCCTTAAATTATTTTAAAAAATCTAAAAAGATTGTCTAAAAACCTATGCCCTAAGCTGTTAAACACTGGGCAACACGTCAATGTCAGAGATTTTCATTTCATTCCGTTTCTCGTCTCGTTTGAATTCGCGTTTCTGGAGTGCTTTCTGCTATAATTATTTGAGATACTCGTCACCGACTTTTGGCTATTCTTTACGGACATTCTCTCGACTGCTTACGATTTGGTTTGCGACATATTTTCTTTCAACCGACTACTGCTATTTACCTGGACTTCCGAACTGCATACGATTTGGTACTATTCTCACGATGAGGTGCTTTTTATGTGATGTTGTTTTGTGCAATGAGATACAACGTTACAAGTTATCAGATATTGGCCTAGAATTAAGTGCAGTTTTTGCTGATATATTAAACCGTGAGGTGAGTATCTATATGCCTACTGTAATAGTCGTCATCATAATACTACTGTAAATCACACGCGCACATTAAAGATCGCTGACGTTGAAAAGTTTCTCCCTCAATCCCATTTTATTAAGAATCTCGTGCCAATTGAAACCCGAAGTCATAACTGAGTTAGTTTCTTCAAAAACGCAGTTATTTCGTTGTATTTTACGGTAAAAAGATACTAGGTAGATTATCTGGAAAATAGAAGTTTATTTGATATTGGTGGTCTTTATAATATCAAGTGCAACAGTGCAGTGTATTACTTATACTTTTTTCTCTTTCAGATTGATTGTGATGGCTACTTGTGTGAAGATTGCCTAACATCGGCTGTAAATCGACTATCTCTTGAATTAAGAACTCAGGTTGCAAGTCACTGTATTTGGTGTAAAAAGTCAATACTTGGTCATCATTCTCATCGATTACCAAACGGCCCTGAGAGAGATCATATAGCTTTGCGTATATTACCACGACAGGTTAGTGTTTTATGCACCTATTGTGTACAATCTATTGATTTTTTAAATTGCAACTTGTAAATATTGATTTAATTCGACCGTAATTGCATGTTAAATCCTGGTTTTTTGTTTATTTATTATAATATGAGGCACATGGTATTTTTTTTAAACATTTAATATGTTATTTTTAGATACAACCTGAGCATAGAGTTTGCTATGCCTGTTGGCTTGCAGCTCGTAGAAATGTTCAACGAGCGCAGATGCAAGATCAAAATAGAGCTGAACCTCCTGGACAACTTGTAGATCAATCATCTACATCTCAGCCTCAACTATCCATATCTCAGCCTCAACCTTCCACATCTCAGCCTCAACCTTCCACATCTCAGCCTCAACCATCCACATCTCATGCTTCAATTTGTGTTTGGTGTCAGAGATCAATTGCCAGATGTCATTCTCATTCTTTACGAGAAGGTCCTGAAAGAGATGTCATTATGGCAAGACGTATCTCACCCAGATTGGTAAATACATTTTTTAGACATATTATGATATAGTTAGTTATCTATACATATAATGAAAAGAAAGTTGAGAATGTTAAAATGTTTGTCTTATGCATTCATTTCTTTTTTTCAGATTGAACTTCATAGTAGAGTTTGCTATGCATGTTGGCTGTCAGTTCGCAGAAATGTGGCAGAAGAGGTTACCCCTGAAAGTGCAAACACTAATTTCAGCCAACAGCAGACATCACTTCCAAATTATAGACGTACTGGTAATTCAGCCAACACATGTTTTGTGCATGGTTGCATGAATCCAGAAAGATTTACTGTACCTAACTTTTTTGAGACACCGTTTATTAAAATTGCATCATTTCTATGTCACAGACGGTGCACGTATATGTCATGAGCATTTAGGTACATTTAATTGGGATTTTTTGTATATATATGACTATATAAATCAGTTCAGCCCTGAACAGTTAGAGGCTACAATTAAACTGGCTCTGGAAAATGAAATTCAATTAAAGTTAGATTTTGAATATATTGACTCGATGCCTAACGAAACATGTAGATATTGGACTGGACTAACTAAAGAAAACTTCTTGTCAATAATTAATCAAACTCCTCTGTTAAGAGAGCGTTTTAAAAAATATAAGACTGCTCTTGCTATGTTTTTAATTAAACTGCGGACAGGTGAGCCACATTTGAGATTAGGGCAATTATTTGATATATCCCAAACATCCATTTCAAATATATTGTCAAATGTTAGAAACATTTTAAATGTACAATTTGTACCGCTTCATATGGGCATTGGCCATTTACCAAGAAATGATACATTGTATCGGAATTTGACAATACCACAAGGTCTGTTTGGTGGTGAGGAAGGCGGCAGTAGGAGAGCTATCGTCATTTGTGATGGGACATATGTTTATTTACAAAAATCATCGAATTATTTGTTTCAAAAAAAAATCATACAGCCTACATAAATATAAAAATCTAATAAAACCATTTTTAATTGTGACAACAGATGGTCATATATTAGATATTTATGGTCCCTATGCTGCAACTGTGTCAGATGCAAATATAATGAAACAATTGTTTCAAAATGAAAACAGTGAGCTACGCCAATATTTCCGAGAAGGAGATGTTTTTATCTTAGATAGGGGATTCAGGGATGCTATTGACTTTTTAAGATCTTTAAATTATAATGTGTTTAAACCTGAATCCCTAGAACCTGGTGAGACACAGTTGCCAACATTAAGAGCCAATAAGTCCAGACATGTCACAATGTGTAGATGGGTAGTGGAAGTTGTAAACGGTCGATTCAAAAGAGATTTTAAAATAGTAAGAAATGATTTTAGTAACAATGCTGCTACCCATGTAATGATGGACTTTAGAATAGCAGGGGCCATAATAAATGCTTTCCATGTACCCATCACAGATAGACCGGATGCTCCCCTAATTTTAGAGCGTGCCCTACTCAAATTAAACGTACCCAATGTTCTGGGGGATTATATTATAGAAAATAATTTAAATAGAAGAAGAGTGTCTTTTAATAATATAAATGCGGAACAAATTCTCTTAAATGAGTTCCCGAGAATGACAAAGTCTGATTTGATTTTATTTGCACTGGGCACTTATCAAATTAAGCAGGCGCGCTCTTATTATGGGGAGCACATTAGGCAAAATGGCTCTTTTATAATAGAGATATGTCATGATATCGAGCCTGTCCATATGCCAAGTTCTAATACTGAAACGATTTTATTTAGAGGACGAATCAAATCTAGGCTTCGTAGTGGTAAGATATATTATACATATATTTTATTAAATACCAATGAATGTGGTTGGGAGCACAGAATCCATGGTTACTATTGCAACTGTATAGTTGGAAAACGTACCGTGGGTTGCTGTGCTCATATTATGACCATTGTGTGGTATATGGGATGGGCTCGATATGAAGACCATATAACAGCTCCTGCCTCCTTCCTAGACCATATTTTAGTTAGAGATGATATTGAAAATGAAGAAATATAATAAAAACAACTAAAAAAATGTCTTGGGTTTTATTTTGCACAACTATCAATACCAAGTAAGATATTGAACGGATGGAACTGATTTTTGTAAGTATTTGTATACCTAGCTGTTAGTTTCCCTAACAATTTAAAATAAATAAAAATAGTCTGTCAAGTTTTCAGTTTTGCTGTTTGTTGTATGCATGTTCTCAGAAAACAAATTCAATAACAATTAACTCAGAACAAAACTACCAATTATGATTTCACTTATGTTATCCTTACGAGGATTGCTTGAGCTTGATGTTTTTCATTGCTTTCTGGGCCAATAGATGTTCTTTGCCATTGGTATGATAAGAACTGTGTGCCAGTAGAGAATGTCTATTTTGTTGAATACCTATCATCATCAAACTTAAGAGTTATAATAAATACTCTTGTCGGTGGAGCAACTTCCGAACATCTTTACTGTAAGCTAACTCCTTGACCTCCTTATACGACCCGACACTGGCCTTTTCTTTTATTTGGTCCATATATTTGCATCTAGCCAGACCTCTTCCTCCTTTTCCTTCCAAAATGGTCTAAATACCTATATTATTATTATTATTTTTCCGTAATGACGGCCACTAGCCTTGGGCCAGTATCAGTGTCGATAAATGTTACGGTTAATTCGAACATACAATAAAAAAATATTTTGAATGTAACATCAAAACAATATGATTTGTCATCGTTCAGTGACAGTAGACAGCTGCCAAATCACACCAATGTACGTTTCGTCGAACGCAATATCGTTTATTTTAAAAATTGTAAAATTACATTTTTAGTAATTCCGACATAACTTAAAAAGATTTCAATTATTGGATCCTTTCCTATACAATTTTAGACATTTTTTGACATAAGTTGTACCTCGGTACATTTTTTGGGCAAAAACTGAAGACCTCCTTTGAAGGAAACAATACAAGAGTGGAAAATACCGTTCTCTGAAATCCTGCACTTATTGTATTTTGTTCTATTTTTGTTGTAATAAATAAATAATAATAAATAATGTAAAGAAAGATTTTGTAAATGTAAGTGAACTATTTTGTTTTGAAGTATTGTTTTTTTTTTGTGTGTGGAAAAACTCCACTACTTTTATATAATTATTATTACAAAGAATGAACACAAGAAAAATTCCACCCATCTGTCGCGGGACACAGTTCTACAACAAGGTTACAATTAAAACAGCGACATCTACGTCAGTCTATGGTAGCTGTAAAGTTACCGGCTGAATGAGAAGCTTCATAAGCATCTCACAGGTGCTTAAGGCGATAAAAGCCGAAAAAACCGAATACAAAGAATCTATAATAAACACAGAGAAATTCTCGATCGAAAAAACTGACTCGATCTGCTCAGTTGGTAGAGCGGTGCCCTTGGTTTGGCACAGTCACAGGCCCTGTCACATGGAAGGAATTTCTCTTTTGTGTTCCATCTTCGTATTAATATAATTAGTATAAAATAATTTTTATTTAGATTATTTGCCCTTCGTTCGTAATACTTTCGGGAAATCAGAGAGATCTATTGTGTATTATTTTGGAGTTTTATCTAAATTTGGGTAAATATACTGTGCCTATTCCGTTGTATGATAATGTTAAATGGATATCACCATCATAAGTAAAAATATATGACGATTCAGACTCTACTGTCATCAAAAAAATAGGCGCACTGAGATAGATTCCCTATTCTTCGATTAGTCAATCATCACATGTAAGCCTTTATAGTGGTACAGTCACGTGCATTAACACAATTAAACAATCGTTTTATAATTACATTTCAGAATAATTCACCATGTCTGTCGTCTGCTAACTAACAGGCAGCTATATGATAACACCATTTTTTGACATATCATAAAGAAACCATAACCCAGTTACTAGCATATTGATATTGTTTAACGATATTTTGGTTTAAGTTCCAATAAGTCGAATACGTTAACTAACTTTAACTGTTTTTAAACATATAATTTTATGCTATTTAAAACAGATGTTTGACCACTTGTCCCTTAGCCGCATTTTCGTTAGTGGACGGCAGATGTAATGTGACATGATGTAAACCTTCGTCAATATGGATAATAATATAATTTTTGCACAAAAATACAATTTGAATGTTACTTCTATTATGCGCTTCAATTTCTGATATGTGACTGTATGTACCATTAGCACCCCTTATACTCAATAAATATAAATTGTTTCTCATTCTTTCCCCTAACCATGTCAACATTCGACTTCAAAATGACATATTTCAGCCCCTCTATTACCAATACGGTAATGGTTTAAGATGGTACATTAGGCCGTCAAATTATTGATGTTTTCGCCTCAGATTGCCATCATTAGTATTAATGCCCTTGTAAGGGTTCTGATGTAAGGAAAAATCCCGGGACAGCGACCACCTGGTAGAAGACATACTTTCGTGGCTTAAGAATCTCCGGACATGGTTCAACCTGAGCACAAGATCTTTGTTCCGTGCAGCTGTGTCTAAAATACAGATAGCCCTAATGATAGCCGATCTCTGTAGGAGATGGCACCTCAAGAAGGGTTCTGAAAAAAAAAATACGTGCAAAACATTCGATATGTGAATGAACGCGTCATACTGCGCGAACGGCGACGTCATCTTTAAAAGCGCATGGGTACCCAGCATCCGGATTGCTCATCACGGCGGTAGTAATGCGGTCGGTTGTCCGGGAACACGGTCACAGCCGGGAACGGGTGTTGCTGAATGAACTTAAGCGTCATTCGAATCTGAAACGATCATCTCAATGTAAGTGTAACACCATGTAACATTTTAAACCGAGTTCAAAAAAGGAGGAGGTGCTAAATTCGACTGTAAATTTTTTTTGTATGTATGTTACGCAATAACTCCTGCATTTGTGAATTCCCGATGGTGATAATTCTTTTTTTGTTGGAAAGAGGATACCTCAAAAGTGGTCCAATTTAAATTTGAAGAAAATATTCCATGAATAACTTTTGAGGTCGGTTTTTTTAGTACTCTGTACTGGGATTATTATTGTTTATAACTCAATGTTATAACATATTGATAACAATAACATTTTCTGATTGGTTTTATTATAAAACCATTAAAGAAAAATCTTTCTCGAAAATTGTTTTTGTGTTCATCAGCACAATTATCAAAAGTTGAAATTTGGGTACCATTAAGAGGGAGCATGCCAAAAAAGTTTTGACGTTGGCTCCGCCCAAATTTGTGAAACAAATATATGCCTGAAGTTCGCGTGACATGCGACAGGAGATGTTGAATTTTGCGCATTAAACGTACCAAATTCGTTTTAGCGGAATAACTCTAAAACTAAAGGGATTAAAAAAAATCCGTAGTAACAGTTGTCGAGCATGCATAAATACAATTAATTATCTAATTTTTGTCCTAATAACCCATAGCATTTCGAGGATAAATCGAAAAAATGTGAAAATTAGAGGTCATTTGTGATTTTTATCTATCGAGGAAACTTTATTGTTTTATGTTTCTGATTAATGGCTAGCTTGAATATATCGTGTAGTTACTCGTACAATATTTTATTTTTAACTTTAAAGTGGATATACCTCTCTAAAATCAAATCGAAGATTAGGAATTTTTCCTCTGCTCCCTCTTAAGAAAACGTAAAATTTTTTGGGTTTCTCTTTATTTAAAGACGAAAAGGAAGCATTATATTTCAAATCAATAGTATATTTCAACCAAGATTCTACAAAGCTACAAAAACAAAATTTCAGGTGTATGACTACTCTTTTCTAATATTTGCTATTACACATCACATCACATCAAAAACGGAACCTTTCTGATTTGTTACATAAATAATGACTGGTTACAGGCAGGACACCATGTAAGTAAAAAACAGTAGTTATAGTACTGTAGTAAGTACTTATAATGCAATCGACTGCCTCCGTGGCCGAACGGTTACCACGCCGGACTGCCACGCAGAGGTCCCATGTTCGATTTCCGGGTCGGGAGAAATATTTGTATGGCCTACATTTATGTCTCTCGTGAGTGTGGGTGTAATTTGTGATTGTCTATGTGTGTGTCCATGGCACCCGCGGCACAGGGTTTCCCTTTTTTTTTTTTTTTTTTTTATACCTGACAGGCAAATGACTAGTGCGGGGCTATGTTGAGTGTGTGCGTTATTTATTTATTTATTTAATCGACTCCACTACTGCTTCATCCAACGTCATTCCGCTCTTGATGAGCAATACTATCGCCACAGCAATAGCAACAACGAAAAATATCAATCGAGAGTTTTTTTGGGTGGTTTTTACTCCTATTTGTCAAAGACGCATAGTGAAAGACAAAACACACTATGTGGTAGTTTCTGTGGTTCGTTATTCTTGAGATTAGAGATTCACTAACAAGAACTAAATATCTGTGGGCCTGTTAAAAATGACACTGATAGCGTTGGTAGCAGCATAAAATATGTCAGATTAATATTTATAAAAATAGTTCGAATTTGGATTTTGCTGTGTTGATTGTTGTATATAGCAACGGTAATGACCAGGCAATCAGGGTGACTTTAGATGAAGTGGGAGTCGATGTTCACTGATGGATCGATCGCGTTTATTTACGAATTTATTATTCTTGATTTCCGATAGCGAAGTACACACGTCATTACCAACACAACCACGAATATTACAATTTGTATTGCCATGAACTATGGAGTCAGTTCCAGCGAGTACTTACATTATGCACAAAATGCGGAGGCTCTACGGCAGGCGTAGTGCTAAGATGCTGTAGTATGAAATCATCGGATTGCTCGAGCCAAAGGTCTACGCCGCGTAGCGGATCATAGTTGAATGGCCCGATGCGTAGCATGCCTACGCCGTTATCGTAGATGTCTAACACCTGTAATTAAATTGAAAAAAAAAAATTGTGATAAAATCGCATCAAACCCCTAAACATAAACATACATGTCGTATGCAAAGTATTCCGTAAACATTAGTGGTGAAGGTCGTCAGTTGAAGTACGTCAATTTAGCCGAAAGAGGCCATATGGCCAATGCCACTGATAAATTTTCTAATTTCCTATTTCATAAATGATGCGAAATAAAAAATACCCAATGCAACTAGAATACCATCACAACATTACGTCACTCTACTTCATTAATATTATGAGACTCAATATGGACTAGCGAACAACAAAAATTAACAACCTATTTTCAACCAAAAAAGGCGTTCTCTATTTTATCGATATTTTTCTATTAGTTTCCCAGATTTCTGTCGTTTAAAATGACAACTTTACTGAACTATGTAATAATGCCTCACGTTCGATGAGGTGAAAGAGCTGATGGCTGGAGGAGACGAGAATGATTGGTCAGCACGTGAGTTCATCCCACAAGCCTGTATCCCAAAAAGAGACGACATAATACAAAGCGTGGTTCAAGTCTACAAGCAATTGCTCTTTTTATAGGAAACGAAACTATTTTTCCGGATTCAAATCGCGTATATTTGTTTATTCAAACAAACCGACGCGTTTCGGGCCCTTTACAGGTCCCATGTCCCAGTCAACCGCGACCATGGGACCTGTAAAGGGCCCGAAACGTCGGTTTGTTTGAAAAAACAAATATACGCGATTTCAATCCGGAAAAATAGTTTCATTTCCTATGTGTAACAATCGCGAAAACCTAAGAACTAAATTGCTCTTTTTATTAGTAAATTTTTATTTATTTATTTAACATTTATCACTCAACAGACAACAGCTACAAACACAGAAACGTTCATCAATCATTTGTTCAAATACTTTTCTACATTCACTGATCAAACATCGAATCGTGCTATCAAATAATTCAGAATGTTGTGCCGCTTCGAGAACGGAGTACGATATGATATCGATATGAACCCTAAGCGAATGCAAAAGTGATATGAAAGAAAGAAAATAATATTTATTTGGTCTCTACTAGTAATACAAAGTAAATCTTAATATTAAGCATTGAGATCTAAAATGGTCACCACTCAGCATTTGTCTAGTTGTGCATCCAAAAAAACCCAACGCTGATATTCTGTGGTAAAATTTTGTATGATATAATAATAAATCATATACGTATATGACTATATTACAGTAAATATTAAAATTTATAATTAAAATCCATTACGTAAAATAAATCAATAAAAAAATTACATCTAATTCTCTTGTTAAAAGGATTATTAATCTTTATAATTAACTTATATAAATTAATTTATAAAAAGTGAATTCCCAAACTAACTGCTATTTATAACATATGTATTTATGGATATGGTTTTTAGTCCGGTACGATAGGCACTACCCGAGGTGGATTGCGCCTGCTGTAAACGTATGACAATCCTTTCGATTTTAATGCGTTTTCAGTCGATTATTACTGATAATTAAAGACTGCTAAAAATAAGTCTTCATGCTCTATAAAACTCTTCAAACGACGAACGCCACCCTGTAGTCAAAAAAATTTTCCGAACTATTCAGACACCCTTCGAAATGCTCCGAAATCCATCTGCACCAGCATATTGAAACAATCTTTGACTGATCTAAAGTTGTATGTCACGATGTTTTACTACAGACCTACCCTTAGAGGACGGAAAAAAATAAAGGAATAGTCTAAGGGCCTACCGCTTAACGGAGTCGGTTCCTGAGGTAGCTGCGCGGTGCGACAGAAGTGACAGCTTACGTAACAGTAACGTCGCGCTGCACACGGGATAATTTCAACAAGATTTTTCTGACGATATTCAATAGCAAGTTGATTGAAAAATGTGCCTACTAAATTAGTCAATTGTAATCATGTGAAACAATATACAAAAAAAAACTATTTCATTGATAATTGAACTGAATATGTCTATTCATGAGCCATGTGGCACTTTTTTTCAATTACCTAATTATTGAATATCGGAAAAAAAACTTGTTAAAATTATTCCGTGTGCAGCGCGACATAACTGTAACGTGAACTGTCACTGCTTCCACATCGCGCAGGCTACTCCAGGAACCGAGTCAGTTATACGGTATTAAGTTTTTTTTTGTCAAATTACTCAGAGTCATTTCAATCGGGCTCAGTTCGAACCAGCGCCTTGACCATACAGTGGTTCACGCTCTCCCAACTGAGCTACAGCACGAACCAAGGTCTAAAGTTATTTGTAAGTAAACTAACCTGAGCAGAATGTGGTCCACCTGTGATAGTCCGAGCACTCCTCAGAGGTAGTTCAGGCCCCTTATCTGGGAAGGTGGCGGGGAACAAATCCCCCGCTCTGATGTCCACGCCGACTCCTGTGACAAGAGGCGCGGGCGCACCTCCGCCGAGCGCAGTATTTAACTCGCATGAACATGCCAGAGTTAAGTCAATTTCTACTGACAGTCGATGGAAAGACACTGGAAAAGATAATTACAACTTTTTTTATATAAAAATCGACCTCAAAAGTTTGTGGAATTACATCTATTTGCCAAGTTTTGTTGATATCGGTTAGCGGAAAGTGCGTGAAATCTAATTCGTCCCCTAATTTGTCACCCCTAAATTTGAATGGGATCACTACCAAGGTACCCCTTTTCCAACAAAAAAGAATCATCGAAATGTCAGAGTAATAGCATAACATACACACCCAAAATACAATCTAATTGAGAACCTCATCGTTTTTTGGAATCAGTTAAAAAACGAGCTTGTTTTTGTTTTTGCAAGGGACACCGTTGTACATAAAGATTTTTTTAAATTTATTAAGGCTTTGGCAAAGCCATCAGCCTAAACATGAAGTTTAATTATTATTATTTTTTTTATTAAGGCTTTGGCAAAGCCATCAGCCTAAACATGAAGTTTAAATATGTTTCTGTAAATATGGCCGCCACAAAGAGGATAGGCAATTTGAGGCGGCGTGCTTGGATTGACTCGGGATTCCTTAAAACGGGCCGATACGAGTATTTTAGTTCGAGATTTGTATAATTTCGCGTTTTAATCTTCGATTAAGGCACAATAGCACTATCCTATTCCACTTTAAACTAGATTTCACAAAATAATTGAAAGTCAAAATAAAAACGACACTTTTCCCTCCAAAAGTTCCAGAGCGAATTATTTGTACATAAAGACTATATAGACCAAGGACAAATTAATTTTTTGTTTGGTACTGTTTTCTCCACTGTGGAAAAGGCAAAGGCACTAATACGCCATACAGCCAAAAACTGAAAGTAATTTCTTTCTTGAATTCCATTACAAATTTATGTCTTCGATAGTGCTTCTTACGAAATGGTACAAAATTGGATAACATTCTTAATTTTTCAGGAGATGTGATAAAGAACGCGGGATGATTTCAGGGATTTTGTACAGTTGAAGAAGGTTATCGATGAGGATTATTCTAGGAATAGAAAAATGTGGGCAATCGAAAAATATATGATGGAAGGATTAGTTGGAGTAGTCACTTTAATTTGTTATCGAATAATATCACTGTATGCCAACATGCTACATCAATGAGTACTGGCTCACGCTCCATTCGATCCGCATAAGAAGCACAATTTTGGCAATTTGACAACTGTCTAAAAACGTCAATGGTGGTGATTTTTGTTTTTCTATACACGTTGAACTAAAAAGGTTATAATGATTTTACATTACCCAGCAAAAGGATGTTTTATTTAAAAATTATCGTGTCCGTTAGAAATTAAAAAAAATATTTAAAACAAATATTTGTAATTACTACAATGATATTCATCTATTTTGGTGAAATTATTCCACTAATTTGTTACGATTGTTAATACAAAATTCGAACGCAAAGAAACATTCCTTCGATCTTACAGGACTCGAACCTGTGTCTGTTTTGCCAATCTAGGGCACCACTCCACCAACTGAGCTTCGAATTTTTCTATGCGTTTGTTACAGATCGTGGTTTTAACGGTTTTTTTTGCCATAGCGCCACCTGTGAGAAGATCTTACTATGAAAACGCTCTAAATTAGCAAAACAGACGCAGGTCAGATCTGTCAGATCGAAGAAATTTTTCTTTGTGTCAATAATTATAAGAAATATTTGGTTGAAAATGTCTTTTGTCGTTAAGTTGGCAACTTCTATAAGCATATAAATTAGAATATATTTTGATAAGTTGTTTTTTTTTTTCAGTGAATCCGAAAAACGTAAACACGGTAATGTAAACTTCTAAAACCCAAAGAAACAATTAATCGGTAGCATGACACATGTTTACAGTTAAAGTTAAGATCAACAGCTGATTAACCGATGATAGTATTTGAACAGACGCCATTCGCCCACTTTGATACAAGCTTTGGCAATGGCCCAAAGTGCTCTTTAATCACTCGAAACAATGATCATTATAATGAAGTAGTAAAAAAAAACTAAAATTTAGCAATAACATTAATAGAATAATAGAAAATGAAAATATTTTTTCGGATCTAAATTGCGTATATTTGTGAACTTGTTAAAATAAAATAATTTGTAAAAAGTGTAGCGTAAATTGGAATGTTCTTTGGAAAATTTTAAAAGTAAAGAATTTCATTAATATTTTTTTGAAAATAGAGTGTTTTGCATTAATATTATGACTGGTTGATGACTTTACCATCTCAGTCAGCCGTGACCTGTAAAGGGTCCGAAATGTTGGTTAATTTGAAAAAAACAAATATACACGATTTAGATCAGAAATAATAGTTTCATTTTCAATGTGTAACAATCGCAAACAAAAAAAAGCAGAACATAAAAACAAACCTAAGAACTCAACATTAAAAGAATAAAATCACATTGTGAAAACTATAAACATTTTCCAGAATTTGTGTCTACAGCTGCACTATTCCTTTTGTATTTATTTTCCACAATTGATTAATAATAACATCTTGGAAAATAAAGTATTTTTTTAGATCGAAAATCCTTTACAATCCAGTATTTGTTTAAAATATATATAACATTTTGCTTTTATTTACAACTACATCACTGGAATGAGATATCTAGTACTTTCCTATTTCAACATCATCAATCCATTAATGTGGCCCACTGCTAGGCACTTCTCTCAGGTGTAGGTTTAGGCCATAGTCTTCCACGCTGGCCCAATGCGGGTTGGGGACGCATAGGTTTCATCAGATGTTTTTTTCCCCGAAAAGCTCATAACTCATAATTCATTGTGTCATGTGGATTGACAAAGGTGTTACGTTAAATATAATAAAAGATTCCAATACCTGAACATTGTAAGGGCACTACAATGAATAACTTAATAAATAATTCGTTATGAAATATGTTAAACAATAATGTAAAAATTTTAATCACAATAATTAAAATTAAAAAGTTTATGATAACGTAAGTCTAGCTAATACAATTTAATTTATATTATAATTCGTTCGATAAAATTGTATAAAACAATGTATTTCACGAAAAATTAATGATCAAAACAAAAAATAAATAATCTTAACGTACGTCCTTACTTAAATTAATTGAAGGTACCTATGTCAGCAAGGTCATCGTAAATATCAAATTAAATTTCGCACATAAATTCCGAAAAACTCAGAGGTGCCCGTGACTTTTTCTATTTTCTTATTCACCTACTTAATATTTTAAAGTACCATCCGATATGCAAAATGTCTAAAAATAAGTCACTTTTACTTACGCATAATATTAGCAAATAGCTCATCCGAGTAATTATGGGGATCCCGAAAACCCCCGACCAGCTGCAGCTCGAGTCTTCCTTCCGGGTAGCCTACGGCCAACTGCTGTACTCTCGCGACCATTGCCGCCGCCGCCTCCGCCGTTCCTGATCCGTCTAGATGCGCGAGAGCTACGGCGCCTGATCCTGTAATTGAAAAATAAAAGGTTTTATAACAGGAAAGTTTCACATATTTTAAAAGCAAAAAAAAACAAATTTAAATTACTTCGATTGCATATTGTAAGTAATTTATCACAATTTAGTAGTGAGCATTCGTTTTTATTTGATATTTGATTACAAAAGTACTGAAATGAAGCAATGGCATATTCATAATAATTTCAGTACAGAGTACTAAAACAACCGACCTCAAAAGTACGTGGAATTACATATAGTTACCACGTTTTATTGAAATTGGTTCCCGGAAAGTGCGCAAACCGGGATTCATCCCCTAGTTCGCCACTATACGGGACTTCACACTGGAGATAATAAAAATTGGTTCTCACTACTCAAAGTATATTGAGAAAGAGAAAAACGCCTTGAATTGGAGAATAGCAAAATCAACCATTAAAATAATTGCTTCGTATAATAAAATTTAGGTGCTATACCCGTGACCGTACGTGATGTTGTCTAACATTCAATTATTGTTATGTTTTATTGTTGCACTTACTTCATACCCTGAAAAAGGTTACGTCATAACCATGACAAATGTAAACAAAATTACGAGTCACAGTGTTAGGCAACCTGATGAAATAAGTATGAATTAGTAGAAAAGAATAAGACACTTAATAAACGGAAGTTTAATGAGTTAGTGTTTCTTACCTGCATGCCTCACAATGACTATAATACAGGACGTGGCGTCATCTGAACCGATAATGTGAATGTTTTCTGCAAATAAAAGTTAACAGAGTTAAAAAATACTAAAATATTACAATTGGTTTAAAGCAATAGTTTACCAACGTGGTCATTTCCCCCCAGGGGCCGATGAAGCGCCCTAGTAATAGATTGGGGGGCGTTAAAGCTGTCTAGGGGGTGCTACCGCATTTGAAAAAAAAGCTAGAATTATCTATATAAACTACTCTACATATTTATTTCTATGTGATTTTTATGTTTTACAATTATATTTTGTGGTGGTGGGCGTTGAAATTTTTTTATCCTGTCTAAGTGGGCGGTGAGTCAAAAAGTTTGGGAACCTATGGTTTAAAATTTGAAGAAATAGTGTGCTCTTTGCCGTTTTGGTCGAGTCAGTTTCGAATTATAGCTTCGATGGGACTTTAAATCTTAAAAATCAGATCAGTTCTTTGTGTTAACATGTTCCTGAGATTCTGACTACCTGTTAACTTTTTCTTTTTAATAAATTAATGTAAGCCTACAAGTTTGTTTTGACGACCTCAGTGGCCTAACGGTTTGTACCACGGGCTTTCCTATCCCGGGTTCGATTCCCGATAGGACCAAATTGGGTAATGAACTTTTCTAAATTGGTTCTGGTCTGGGTGTTCTGTGAAGTGCCCCAGAGTGAATTCCGTTGCTCTGGTACTCATAGTACAGGGAATTCCCTAGTTCGAGACCAGGCACTTTCTTTTTAAGTGTTAGAAGTGTGAACTTACTGTCATGTGGCGCAGCTGCGGCGAGTTCGCGTTGTCCAACGTAGAGCAGTTGTTGAGGACCCACAACCCGTGGGGCGGCGGCGAGCAACTGCGCAGCCGCATCTCGGTAGCCGGGGTGTGCGGCAAGCAGCGCGCGGACTGATGTCGGGCACTCGTCCGCCAATACGCCGTTTAGCACCACCACCATGGTAGCGCTGAAACAAAACAATATTCATATTTATTACTCTATTTTTCTAGTACGGGCCGTACTGTGTCTGTGTTTTTAAATTTGGTCGAGTATTACTTACATCAAGTACTCGTATATAACCAAAAATACAGGCAAAATAAGGGCTGTACATTTCTGGTAACTCATCAGTGATACATTATTTATAAATATCAACTATCGTTTGCACTGAAATATAGACAGCGCCAACAACTGATCTGTGTGTACGTCTCCGTTTATTCCAAAAATATTCTGTATTTAATGTAATAAAGACAATACCTCTGACAATGGCGTGCTGTTCCATTCGATGGTGTACAAAACAAATGGTATCAAATTTCATGGGTAATTAAATGTGTAATGTAATTTTGCATTTTTCGTCCATTATAGCAAAATTCAAGTTAACTGGTCGATGTAAAGTGAAACAATCGACGACACCCGTCAATGGGCATTGTTCATTTTTTTTCAAACTCTATTTCAAAATCCATTTCGAGGAATAAGGTTGTTGATTAATATTTTCTATGTATTGTCAATATTACGTCGAGATTCTGTATATTTTTCAAAAGATAGTATTGACCTTTATTTGACATTCAATGACGTCATCAGTGTTTCTACAATGTTTTGTCCGTGCGTAATGTAAAGCAAAAACGCAAAAAAATTTAATGTCACTTCACGTTTGTAAATATAAACTTAGTATTTTTGCAACTTTTAATTTCGCTGCCGGG